CTCAATTCTGATTCAAACTTCTCATTACGTATTTCAGGCCGAAGATAAACTCATATTATTATACAAAAAACTTGAGGCTGCAAATAATGATCTCTGTTTTTCGGTGTTGAAGGATGCACACCAGAGCGTAACAAAAATGAAGGATGAGTTACCAGAACTGCAAAAGCTTATTCAAATAATCGTCACGAAGTTTGAAATGGATGATGATTCAAAGATAGATGGTTGGAGAACTGATGATTCGAATATAGATGACGTCATCGTGAACAGTACAAAGATTGAGGAATTACGCGATCAACCGCGAGTTAATCGGGGTAAAATTTTAAAGAAAAAATACCTCACACAGGACGTTGCGCAAAAACCTCTCGATTCTTGCGATAAAAACTCCTGTAAAAATATTAGCATGCTCAAATTATTGGATGATTGTAAAAATGTAATAAAATTGTAAGTATATTCTCCAAAGCATTCTACGCATTCGTAATTACGGTAAGTGACTAACTTAGTGAGCGCAATTTGTTGAAGCTTCGGTATTTGTAAGATGAGCGGTAATAGCTACCTGATCACTGAATGGTGTGAACACGGAAACCTCGAGGAATACCTGTCGCAGAATCCGGAACTTGACTGGACTGTAAAGGTTGACATTGCCACAGGCATTGCTAATGGACTGGTATTCTGTCATGATCGAGATATTCTCCATCATGATATTCGGAGTTCCAATATAATGCTTGATGCATATTTGTGTGCAAAACTCTCAAACTTTGAATCAAGTAGGAAAGCCCAGGATGATACTGTCCCTAGTCTTCCGTTGGTAGATATTGCAAGGTATTGTACGACACAGCTCATTGTTGGCTTTTGGAATTTTACATGATGGGACTTGACTTGTACGATATATATGTAGATATAAAGCCCCTGAAAAGTTTAGTAAAGGGAATCCATACACGAAGGAGTGTGACATTTTCAGGTAACTTTTAAAGTCACCTACCGGCAGAATATTATATACTACACATGAATGATAAAATAACGAATAACTAAAATGCAATCAATATCAATAGCTTTGGGGTTGTTCTTTGGGTGATTGCCACACAAGAAAGACCGTACAAAGACGTGAAGAGTTTCAGGCAGATTAAAAAGCATGTCCTAAATGGAAATCGACCGGAACCGATCGACGAAAGCATTCCAATAAGATACAAAGAGATCATGATGAAGGCGTGGGATCAAAGAAGTAATTATCGACCGAAAGCAAGTGAGATGTATGAAAAGCTTTCCAAATGCTTTTCGGATAATGTTTACCATGCGGAAGAAGAACCTACAAATTTGCCCCAAGTTTCGGATGATGTCAACGAAAATCAACGTGATGAGGCCGCGATGTACAAGCAGGCGATTGAATATCATAACAATAATAGGCGTGAAGAAGCCAGACTTATTTTCTGCGAACTTGCATCTACTGGTCACAAGGAATCATTATATTACCTTGGGTACTACCATGAAAAAGGTTATGTTGTGCCTCAAGATAATAAAAAAGCACTTGAATATTACAGAGAGTCCGCTGATAGGGGCTGCGACCGTGCAGCTTATTACTATGCGGAGGCCTGTTTAAGACTGGCTAAAGAGTATATGGAAAAGGCAGTGCAACTTGGGCAATCCAAGTCTGGCATAAAATTGACCGAATACTTTTTCCCTCCGCCTCCATCACAGGAAACGTGCGATAAACTTTTGAGATTCTTGGATGCTGATGAGTCTGAATTGAATAGACAACAACCGGTGGAACAGGAAAGGTATCAGAAAAGAATCGAAGGATTGCGAATTAAAATCCAACAAACCAAACAAAAATAAGAATAGCTTCGTCATTATGCACATTTTTTGTATTGAGTAATGATTTGATTTTATGAGAATTCCCTAAAATACTGTACATCGCATTGAAAAGCGTGTTTATTTATGTATTTTCTAAATAAAAAGTTGTTTCCAGATAACAATTTTTGAGTTTATCATAAAACTTAATCATAAAGTTGATTTTAATTGATGACTTTTAATTTTTTGGATAAAAAGTTCTCATTTAAAAGCTTAACTGATTTCCTATAAGTTAGTTAAGGATATAATTTTAGCATTAAGCATTGGAATATTTAAGGTATTACTCTAAACAAATCGTACGAGATAAAATAACTATCATAATTTAATATATTTTTGCACGAAAATAAAATACTCAACATTTTTAAGGATTTCCTTTAAATAAGTTATTATGAAAAAGGTATATTTAAGCATATATAGCGCATTATGCGTTGAACTTTATTACAAGTTTCGAAGCCTAAAATTTGCTTTGCATTTAATAAGTAACGAAAGAAATATAAATTATATCGCTGCACTATTTTATTATATTATATTTCATTCATTTCGTCAAGCGCTTGAACCAGATTAATGCTAAATTGGAATTTAAAACAATAACTTAACTATTTGTTGAAGCATATAGCAAATTGGCAATAACTGATGAAAAGGTATAAAAGTGTATACTGTTTCATAGTACACGTACGGTATATTAAATTTGATTGTTACTATGTTGACTATTTATCTTAAATATTGTATAAATATATAGTTATATTACATCTTTTTTTCTCGAAATAAACCATTTAAAATTTTTTCCCAATCTTCTTTAAAAAATTTTTCAATGTTCTTTTAGGAAACATTCTATCTTTAATATAAATGCTAATTAGAAATATTTACAAGAATAATTTCTAAATTTATCAAAAATTCAAGTTTAAAATAATATTAATAAAATTTTCGTGAATTAAAATATCTATATTTTATTAAAATTTTTTTAAATAATTTTGAAATTAAAATTACAATACTTTAAATAAATTATGAAAATTAATGTACTAAAAAAAAAAACTAAGGCTATCATATATTTAATAATAAAATTATTTTTTAAGTTATTTTAAATTAAATTAAATTTTTGCAATATTTTTAGAATAATTTTTTATAAGAAGCTTTATTATTTCTTGACTAATAAAGTCACTATTCTTTTTTTAAAAAATAATTTAAAATATATTTTAAAAATTATTTGTTTTTTCACTCTTATTTATAATTCTTTTTAAATTAAAACTTGACTTTTAATGATTATAAAAATCAAAAAATATTTTGTCTATCAATAACAATATTATAAAATTTTTAAAGTAAAATACTTTAAAATGCTATATTGTTAAATTATTTTAAAATATTTATTTTTAGTTATAAAATCTTAAATCAAAATTTTATAATAATATAATATTAAATTTTATAAATTGTAAAATAATATATTTATTCAAAATAGAATATTTTGAAATATTATATCAAAAAAAAATAAAGTTAATTAAAAGTATATAGCAAAATAAATAAAGATTATAATACATGATTATTTATTAAAAAAAAACTTTTCTACCGATTCTTTAATTATATACAAAAAAAATGTTCACAAGAAGTTTTAATACTCCTTGCTAATAAAGTTTTAATACTTTCTTTAAAACAACTTGAAGTATTATTTCAAGAGTCACTACTACCTTTCCTTATTGTTTACAAACTTCTTCACTCAAAAACTTGACTCCTAGTGATCAAGAAAAGTCAAGTAATACATTTAATACCAATGGCAAGAAAGTTTCCAAAGGAAGAAAAACTGACTATAAAATATTTAAAGATTTATCTAATCTTTGAAACAAGAGGTTTATAAAAGTTTTCTGTAGTAAAAAGGTTTATTTTCTTTTTTTTTTGACTTTTTTGATCCTCTTAAAACTTCTACTTTATAGTTTTCTGAAAAATTTTACCTATCTCAATTTAACCTTGAATTTTGAGTAGCATAAATCTTCATCAAATATGATTGACTAACATAAAACACATCAATTTTTGAAAAATAAACAAGTTCTATTGGTCATATTCATATGTCTTGTTATATTATTTGTAATATAGGAAAGTAAGTTCTAAAAAAAGTATCTCCTTTAACTATATATGTTCAACCTTCAGGAAACAATTATAATATTGAAAGGCAAGTGACAAATAGGCAAACAGGAAGAATTTCTATCTCTCATTAAGTTCCTCAAGTAGTAAAATGACTTTTTTGAACAAAAACTAAAATCTTCAAGTTTCTATCCTAGTTAGATAAAGTTTTTGGAAAGATTTCTTTATTCCAATCAAGTAAACTCTTCTATAATATGGTACTAGCTCTAGTAGCAATAAGTGAATCTGTATATTGACAAAAATATAGGTTTCTCAAATATTATGAAGCCTAGAAGATATTCCAATCAAGAAAACCCCTTTTGAGAGGAAACTGAGAAATAGAACAAGAATCTTTTAAAGGACTTTGTATTGTATTTTCTTTTTTCTCTTTTTCCAATATTATAATTTAACAATTCACCATTTTTCATAATGATCAATAGTAATAAACTATTGACAATAACTCTAGTTAACTTAGAGGCACTATATTAAACTACTAAAAGAGTATAATAATATTTCCTAAATTTAACTTAGAATATCTAGTTTAGACTTAGTTTTGTTTAATTCAAATTAACTTATTAAACTCATTATATTTTTTAAGTAGTATAGTTCTTTAACTAATAATATATAATAAGGCCTGTGGGTCTATAGCATAGTGGTAGTGCTCCCAGGTCACAATCAAAGGTCCGGAGTTCAATACTACACAAGGGCCAAGTGAAATTTAGCCATCAGTGATACAAAGATCTCATCTACCCTATAGTGACGATCCGATACCCCAACATGGTCATAATAAAGAATAAACAGCTTATCATGCCCATAACAAGACAGAAAATTGGCCCAATACGCAAGCTGACTATCAAAACAGATACTAACAAGGCAAGACTAAGTGGTATGACATTCTTAATCAAGACTGATCCTCTATCTAAGTGGCAAAGTTGAGTAGCAAAGCGTTTCAGCGTTTAAGAAAAACACAAGACAGGTTCTCCAAAAAGAGGTAAAGATGGGTTGCTACAAAGAACAGGCAATAACAAAAACAAGACAAGTCCTACGAAAAAATATACGTGCTAACAGGAGTCATAAAGATCCTGTATAAGAGACCTCTGATACCAGTGGTGCTAGGCATCTTAGGCAAGTTCTTGATATATTAGCCTCCCTTTACAGGAATAGTAATAAGTTATCTGGTGGACTATGGTTCTAGGAAGTGTCACTTTGGTTGGATGAGGGTATATAAAAACATAAGTTTAAAACTGGATGATTCCCTATTAAATTGGTAGGTTAAAACACCCCCAGTATCTCTGACTTTGTTAGGAATTAAGAGAAATCCTACACTAGATGGTTACATAGTTCTCCTATCCTGGTTGGGTGAGACATAAATAGATGTCTCTTGTACTATTCATTGATTTGTAAATTCTTAGACAGTAGTAATTACTGAGACGAGTGAGCTAGTTAAAGTTTTAACTTTAGCAATTCATACTATATATACAGCTTACAATTGTTTAATAAAGCACACATTACTAGCCTAACAGAGGGTTTAAAAAAAAAATTAAATTTTTTAAATTAATAACTATAAAAAAACTATAAATAAAAGTTTTTTATTATTTAATTTCATAAATATAATATATTTTAACTTTTATTTTTATTATATTAAAAATTATCAATTTTATTCTTAAAAGGAAATAAATAATTAAATAAAATTTATATGTTAAATAATTTAAAAATTAATTTTTATATATAAATAATTGAAATAATATAATCAATTTTTTAAAACAAATTATTAAAAATCAAATTTAAAAATTAAAAAATTGAATATTATTAAAATTATTAATATAAAAAATTAGTTATATAAATAAAAAATTATATAATATAAGTTTTTATTATTTAAATAAGATAATTATAATTAGTATTTTAAAAATATATTTTATAAATTTTTAAAAAATTAATTATTTCATTATTAATTATCATTATATATATATTTTTTTTTGTGCAGCAGGTCTACTTTATTAAATTTAGTATGATACATATTACTTGAATTAATAAGCTATTTACTAACTTTTTTTCTTTATGTATTTTCCTACACTAACCTATTAAAAAGCTAATTGATTTTGACAATCTCTTATGGCTTGTTGTTCTCTGCTGGAAACTAACATGCCTAAGCTCCATTAACACTGATTTGGAAGATATCAAAGATATTATGTATTTCTTTCAGGATGTTACCTATTATGTTCTGTATACCAGCTTGTTTTGGTCTGTTTATTGTTGTTCTTTCTTTTTTATGTAGTCTCTGTTATATTTTCTTTTTCTTTTGTTTGATGGATGTTTTGTTAATTTCCTGTTTCTTTTTCTATTATAGCATTCTTCTGCATCTGTTAAGCAGATGTTGAAAGTGAGAAATCTAGTGTATTGCATAATACTTTTGAGGGCGTCTAGCAGTTTTTTGTGTCCTATTGTTTCTATAATAAGGTTATTTAGGACCTTGCTGATACCTTCTCTAAAGATGAGTGTGTTTAGGTTTTTAGTACTAAGCTCAACTTTGTTGTGTATTATTTAAGGGTGCTTGTCATTTTTTTTGTAGTGGAGTTCTCTGTATATATTTCTATTGATTTCCTCATAAATGTTGATATTGTATTGGATGCAGGTGAAGGGGTGGTTGTTATGTTCTATCTCTCTGCAGCTGTGGCACTTGTTTGTTTTATATATGTTGGAGTGTCTTTTGTGGAGTTTGTCCATAGTCGAGAGTTCTTAGTTTCATAGTTTGATAGAGAAGCTATACTGTTGGGAGTTCTACTTGTCTATTTGTGGATCATTGAGTTTGGTTAGATAGAGGAGTGCAAAGCTGTTTTTCCAGTCTATTTCGTTATGATTGGCTCGAGTGATAGATG